ACGTAGGGCGGGACTTGGTTCTGTGCATCGGTTGTTGATTGGGTGTTGAGATGTGGGCGTGGCTCTCTCATGTGTCTTTTCATCTTGGGTTACAGTTTAATTCCTCCATCAGTCCTCCTTCACTCGTGCAGCTGACCATCATCCACAGACCACTGGATGTGCGTATCCTAATCATTTATTTCACGATTAGTATTAAAGATGTGCGTATATATCAGGACTCTATACTCATCCTGTTCATTCTGAATCTGAGATACCTCCATCTGGTGCAGAATGAACATTTCTAAGGCCAGGAATTATGTATACAAAACATCTTTCGTCACAATGACAGTGTGATTATTTTAAATAGGAACATAGACTTTTCCTTTCTATGGCAAATTGACTAGATAAAAGTTTTGACTGAACTAAAATGAAACACTGAAACATTTTGCGGCGTAATCTGATTCCTCAACCAATCCAGGGTTTAAACACTGCGGACAAAACTGGAGCTGTTTTAAACAAACGCCCGGTTTGCGGATGAGAAGTGAAACGGAGGAAGGAAGATGGCGGCAGGATCACGAGGAACGGAGTGGGGCATCATGGCGAAAGAAAGACGCCGTGGCGGGTTTGGCGATGACTGTGGTGTGAATGAAGAGAATGACGGAAGTAGCATAGAAGAAGAAGATGATTTTGCAGATTTGAATTGTGGAGAGTGGAATCAGGTAGAGCTGACATCTCAGAAACGGAAAGACAGAGGCTCAGATTCGGAAGAAATCGGGGGAGAAGGAGGAAGGAGTAAAACAATGCGGACGGAGGATGAGTACAAGGTTATGTTTACATTCGCAACAATGGGAGAAATGAGTAATCCCATGCGATTAACCAAGGTTCTCAAAAAAGCATTGGGAAACATTAAATCTGCAAAATACCTATCAAACAATCGAGTGCTTGTGTTCTGTTTGAACAAAAAGCAACAAGAGATGGCTATTAAGATAAAAGAATTGGGAGGAATAGGAGTGAAATGCAATGTGCCAGGTGAAGAGAACGGAATTAAAGGGGTGATATATGGGGTTCCATTGTCACTAACTGATGAGGTACTAAGAAATCAGATTACAGGCATAAAGGTAACAGAGGTTAAACGGTTGACATCAAATAGGAATGGGAAAAGAGAAATGAGTACAACTGTAGTGATAGGTATGAATGAGAAAATTCTACCAGTAAATGTTAAAATCGGATTCATGAGCTACCCTGTGCGCCCTTACATAAAGCCTGCATTGAGATGCTTCAATTGTCAACGGTTAGGACATGTGGCAGAAGTATGTAAAGGAAAGAAAAGATGTTGCAAATGTGGAGGGGAACATGACTATGGAGAATGTGGAGATATAGTTGGACCTAAATGTTGTAATTGTGGAGGCTCTCATAGTGCTGCATATCTTGGGTGTATAGCACAAAAACAAGCAATGGAAGCAATGAAGTATAAATCAGTTCACAATGTATCTTATGCACAAGCAGTGAAGAAAATCCAAAATGATCAAGGAAACAAAATAACTGATGGAAACATCAATGAACGGGAAATTACAAGCAAAGGGACAGACAGGAATATAAATAAGGAAGATGCAAATGTGCTTATAGTCAGTAAAGTAAGTTTCATTGCATTTATTGCTGAAGTAATTAACTGTACAGCGCAAACAAACAAAAGGACTGAAAAACTGAAAATAATAATTTCTGCAGCTTCACGTCATCTGGCTATAACTGATGTAACAGTTGAGAAAATTCAAGCTCTTTTAGGTCAGTCTGAGAATAATGCCAATTCTCAGGAGGCACCAGACAAGCAAAAGCTAAACAAATAAAATGCCCTTTAGGATCGTACAATGGAATGCTAGGAGTTTATCTGCAAATGGCCAAGAGTTTAAAAAAATGATCCATGAGCTAATAAATCTCCCAGATGTTATATGTGTTCAGGAGACTTGGCTTAAACCGCAGTTGGACTTTGTCATTCCAGGGTATGTATCCGTTAGGAAAGATAGAACACAAACAGCTGGTGGGGGTTGTGCAATATTTGTGAAGAAAGGGGTTGCATATAGAGAAGTGAATATAGATACACAAGAGAGAAGCATTAAGGTGGTGGTTTAGACT